GACCCTATTTCCAAATAAGACCACATTCTAACGTGCTGAGGGTTGATACTTCAACCTCTCTTTGTTGGGGTCACAGTCAACCCATAACCCCTTGTTGGAAGGTGATTCACAAGTTTGCTTTGCAAGGGGAATGCATGGCCCTCGAGGAAGGGGCTACTCCATCTCTCCTGCTGGTGACCCATGTCAAGGAATGATCTCTGCTGAGAGAGGAGGCCAGCGCGCCCCAACGGCTCTGCGGGATCCGAAGACCATGTACCAGCAGGAGGAAGGGGTATGAGTGTGCCTGGACCAGAGGGTGCTGGATGGGACAGGGGCGTAGAACACAAATGTTGGGTAAGAAAGAATTTAACCAAAAGGTAGAGGTGTCCCAGAAGGGCTTAAGCCAGACAAGAGCCCCAGGAGGCAGGGCTAATGTGTTCCTAGGATGGTAGGACAGACGGAATAATGGCCCAAAGATGTCCACACCCTAATTCCTGCACCCCATGAGTATGTTACCCTTTTATGGAAAAAGGGACTCTGTGCATGTGATTAAGGCTGAGGACCTCAGGTTGGGGGCATCCTGGATTATCCAGAGGGGTCTAATGTCAGCACAGAGAGCCTTTTCCAGCTGCAGAGACCAGAGGGGAGGAGCATGGGAGGGGTTGGACTGGTGTTGCTGGCTTTGAAGACAGAACAAGGAGGCCAATAGCCAAGGAAGCCGGAAACCTCTAGAAGCTGAAAAGGCCGGGAAACAGATTCTCCCCTGAAGCCTCCAGAGAGAACAAAGCCCTCCAGATGCCTTGATTTTAGACTCCTGACCCTGGGATGTTTTGGCCTCCAGAACTGTCTGCTAATTCATTTGTGTAGTTGTAGTAATTTGTGGCAGCAGTGACAGGAAACTCATCTAAGTGGCTCTGAGAAGCTTGGAAGGTGGCTGCTCATTCCTGTAAAATAGAATGGCCAGGACAGATGGCGGGACAGGGTGCAAGGGCCCAGACAGGGGCGTGCTGCAGCAGAGCCCAGAGACAGGGGCATGCTTCGGCAGAGCTCAGACAGGGGCGTGCTCCAGTGGACAAGCTGCAAAGGCTGCAGCACTCACCAAGGCCACATTCCCGGGTGGCTGCAGGGCTGCTGCAGAGGAGTCCCCATTTACCAGAGCATGAAAGATGCACTGGCGAGGGGCAGAATCACAGAGAAGCTCAGCGGGATCATGGTCGGAGCTGGGTCACAGGACTGGGCGCTCTGAGAACACCGCGACTGGTGGGATCCCGGATAAGACAGACCAGGTGGGGCCACCTAATCGTCGGGAGCAGGTGAGCTCAGGTATCCCAACGAGCAGCAAGGTCAAAGATGGAGCCAGCATGTCCTGACCAACAGAAAGCAGAGGAGAGGGACACCAGGACTGGGCCTCCCTGGAGGAAAGGCAGAGGCTCTGCACGCTCTGGTGCACTTGATGCCTTCGTAGGACGTGAAGGGAACCATCCCCAGGGCAGCCTGACCTGGGACGCCATGACACCTGGATCCAGGCCAGGTTTCAGACCCAGAACAAAATTAACTTGCAAATTCTAATATTTTTATAGAGTGTCTTGGGAAAGATTTCTAGGTATAAAATCATATTATCCTCCAATAAAGGTAATGTTGACTCTTTGTTTCCATAGTTACACTGCTTATGTTCTTTTCTTGTTTTGGTTTATTAGGTAGAATTGCCCCCAAAATGGTCAGTCATAGTTGCAACAGGGAGCATTCCTGTGTGTTCCTGATTTGAATGAGTGCAGATTTATAATGTTGTTTTAACGTAGTCTTGGCCACATTTAAGTAGCTTTATTTTAAGTAGAGGTTTTCGTTTCTTTTCTTCTTCTTCTTCTTTTTTTTTAAAATCAGGAGCAGGTATTCGATGACAGGAAATGCATTTTGATATTCCTTGACACAAAAAAATGGGCTTGCCTCATTTATTTCTTGATGTAGCATATCACTGGTAGATTTCCAATAGCAAAGCTGTTCTCTCATTTGTAGAATAACGTCTACTCATTCATGTTTTCTTACTTTCTTAATACATTGGGTTGTGTTCAGTTTTTTGCCAGCATTTTATTTGAATGTGTTCTACATCAATATCTGTATATGAAATTTCCTGTTTCTTTTTTTCCCCCACAATTTTGATAAGGTTTTGGTATTAATGTGATGGTGGCTTTTAAAAGTGAATTTTGGAGTTTTCCACATTTTCTATAGATTGGAATCACTTCACTAGAGATGGTTCATTGTATGCGTTCACTTGGCTGGGCCAAGGTGCCAGATATGTGGTCAAACATTATTCTGTATATTTCTGTGGGGGCACTTTTGGACAAGGTCAACATTTAAACGGTGAACTTTGAGTAAAGCCGATTGTCCTCCACCATGTGGGTGGGTGTCTTAGTTAGTTTTCTGCTATAGATTACCAGAGTCTGGGTAATCTATAAAGGAAAGACGTTTATGTCTCACCGTTTCTGGAGGCTGGGAAGTCCAAGGTTGGGGTGCTGCATCTGGTGAGGGTCTTCCTGCTGTGGAGTCCCAGGGTGGGGCAGGCATCCAGGTGGTGAGGCTGAGTGGGCCAGCTCATCTTCCTCTTCTTATAAAGTCAACAGTCCCAGTCCTGTGACAACCCATTAATCCAGAAAGAGATTCATCTATTCATAAGGACAGGACCAGATCACCTCTGAAAGGCCCCACTGCCACGTTGCTGGTTTCTACATGAATTTCAGAGGGAACAAACATTCAAACTATAGCAGCGACCTCATCCAACCAGTTGAAGGACTGAAAAGAACCAAAGGCTGACTGACTCCACCTCCCCATCCCCCCTCCCCCCACCAGGAAGAGGGAATTCTGCTGGCTCTTCCTGGGTCTCCAGCCTGCCAGCCCACCCTGCAGATTTGAGACTTCCCAGTCTCCAAAATCATGGGAGCCAATTCCTTAAAATCTCTTTCTCTCTTTCTCCATCTTATTGGTTCTGTTTCTCTGGAGAACCCGACTAATACAAATAACAAGAGAAGTCTTTGATTTTTGAAGGTTAACTAGAACAAATCACAGAAACGCCAGAGTTTCGCACCTTTTAAAGGGGCAGATGTTTAAGAATCTTTTCGACGGAACCTGCGCTTTCCAGGGTGGTGCTTCCCTGTCAGCGGACCTGGTCTCCTTCGTTTTGGCCAAAGCCGGGAAGTGTAACAGCTCAGTTGTGTTTGAATTGGTCAAACTGCCGGATAATGAGTGCATGGGATTTCCACTCTTGCCCAAGTTAGGGGTCGGGGCGAATTTCCTGAGTGGGCTCCTTTTGGGGAGAATTGGGGATACTCCAAGAGTGGTAAAAACTCTGAGTGGATTCTCCAAGAGAAGCGTGGCTGTCCTTCAAGGTTTGGCTTTCAAGTCATTGCAAAATGAAATGCAATCCACAGAAGACAAGTTGCAAAGGGTAACAAGCAGAAGATATGCTTAGCCTCAGGGTGCTAAGCGAGTCTGAGTTTCCCCAGCAATGAGTACATTCTGTGAAGACTGGCAGGATTTGAACACAACTGCTGTTTTCTCAGCTGTTGTTAGGAGGGTAGAGGGCTACAACTTAGACGTGAGGGTAAATTTGAACATTTTTAAAGCCAGTTTGGCAATCTTTGTCAACATTTTAAATGTGCATACCCCATGACACAACAATTACTCTTCTAATAACTTCTCTTATGAAAATGCCTGTCCAAGCACACAAACATACATGCTCAAAGTTGTTCACGTGACAGTATTTGAGACAGGAAAACCGGAGATGGGAAACATCCACCTTAAGAGGAACAGATACAAACATTGTGAGATCATCAGGATTATGGAGTGCTATGCGGTTATTAAAAAGAACAAAACAGCTGAATATGTAGGCAGGGAATAATGTCCTCGACATTTTGCTGAAAAAAAGAATCAGCCTTCAAAAAACTGCGTATGGCATGAAGCGTTTTTGTTAATTGTGTGAGTGTGCTTCTGTGCTTAGCAAAACGTCTAGCAAAATAGATGGCAGGCTATTAAAGTGGTCACCCCTGGTAGTGTGATGGGGTAGGGAGGGGGAGAAGGCTTTCTGTTTTATTGTATACATATCTCTATTACTGGACTTAAGAAATGAGCATATATTACTTAGTCAATAAAACAAAAAGATTTCTTAGTGCTTGCAACAAAAATGCTGATGTAATTTTAAACCAGGAGGAGCAATGTTAGGGTTTCCTCACTCTGGAATTGAACTAAAGGTAACTTAACCTTAAGAGAAGCTAGAAAAGGCATTAATTCAATTAATTAATGCCTCAGCAGCTTCCAGCTCTGCAAAGATGTCTTAATGAGGCACTCAGGGCACCCATTATTTATCTTACAAATGCAGCTCCAGGGTCCTGGCGTCAGGCGGTGTAACACGCGTCCCCAGGGAGGGCTGGCGCTGCAAAAGCTCCCGGCCCACCCGCTCCTGCCCACACCAGGCCTCATCCTCCCCATCTCTGCGAGGATGGCCCCTGTCCCAGTCCTACAGACCTCGACTTCTCCGCGATCTGCCCCCTCCCCCCATACGTTGCATTCCAGGACCCCTGCAGAGGAATTACTTCAGCCTGGACTGCAAACCGCACTCCTGCACCTCACTATGGGCATCTTGGGGGCGTCCCCCAACACCCCCTGCCCCGCCGTCTGTTTCCTGGCTTCCTTTCTTTCGAGCTGATGGGGAACTGGGGACCCAGAGTCGGCCTGTTTGAGACCCTCACAGGTGGCTCCCGCAGTCGTTAGTGGCACGGGGTCTGTCTCCCCAGGCCGACCTGGTAAAATTCCTGCGCCCGCCGCAGGCCGCGCCCCTCCCGGGAACCCCGCGTTCCCCGCCCGCGTGCGCCGGGAGCTGTCCGCGGTGCTGCCTGCAGGCGCCGCCCGCTCGGCCGACGCGCACGCGTCCTGGGAGGCGCGCTGGACCCGCCGGCGCCGCCACTGCGCAGCCTCCCGCGCCGCCCCGGCCCGGCCCCCGCCGCGCGCGCCCCTTCGGCCCAGCGGCCTCCCCGCCCGGCGCAGCCTCCCCGGCCTCCCCGCCGCCGCTCCAGCCCGGGCCGGCCATGGCGCTCAACAATTTCCTTTTCGCGCAGTGCGCCTGCTACTTCCTGGCCTTCCTGTTCAGCTTCGTGGTGGTGGTGCCGCTGTCCGAAAACGGCCACGACTTCCGCGGCCGCTGCCTCCTCTTCACCGAGGGCATGTGGCTGAGCGCCAACCTCACGGTGCAGGAGCGCGAGCGCTTCACAGTGCAGGAGTGGGGCCCGCCGGCCGCCTGCCGTTTCAGCCTGCTCGCCAGCCTCCTGTCGCTGCTGCTGGCCGCCGCGCACGCCTGGCGCACGCTCTTCTTCCTCTGCAAGGGACACGAGGGGTAAGTGGGGGCCTCTCCCGGCGCGGCGCCCCTTCCGTGCCCACGGCGCCCCCAGGCCCGCCTCCCCACGGAGGCGCGCGAGTCCCTCCATCTCTGCAGCAGTTCCGAGGCCCGCAAATGTCAACACTCGGCCCTCACCCCCTCCACCCAGACGCTTGTCTACACACACATCCGGGACCGTGACGACCACCGGTCCTGCGCGCCTCCCCTCCCCAGGTGCGCGTCGCCTCCCGCTTCCGGGCGTCTGCCCCCTAGGCTGCAGATGTTGCCCCGTCATCACCGAGCAGGCCAGGACCTTCCCGGGCGGGCTCAGCCAGGCCACACTCGCCAGGACCGGGGACAGCTCTCTGCCTGGTTTAGGGCCTGCGCTGGGCTTTCCCAGCCGCAGTGACCAGGCGTACTGCGGAGCCCCACCCGGCACCATCCCCACCTCCCCGGGAAAAGGACGGCAGATGGTTGTTTGGCGGGGAGCGCCCCCAGGCCCACCTCTGGAGCTCAGGTCTGGGCTGGGGAATGTGAGAGGGACAGCAGGGCGAGGGGTGTTCCTTTGTGGGCTCAGCGCCTTCCCTCCTCCTGGCCTCCGTTTTCCTCTTAGTCTCTCCTGCTCCCTCAGGATACTGGAGCCCACACAACCTGGTTCACCAGGGGTGCGGTGGCACCCTCAATCAGTGGCACCCTGGGGACCCTCTTTGGGCCCACCCACTCCCTCTGTAGGGGCCCTTTGCAGGACCACCCACTTCCTCTCCGGGTGCCCTCCGTGGGCCCTCCCACACTCCTGGCTGAAGCCCGCTGTCCCCAGGAGCAGCCCGAGATCCTGGCGCGGTTCAGGGAGGGCACTCACGAATCCCAGGCCCCTCCCGAACCTGGCCCCACCCCATCCTTTGATTTGGTTCTCACTCCCTGCAGGCTAGTGGGAAGTTAGAAGGGCTTAGAGGGGTGCCGGGGGCACGAGTGGGGAGGCCCTCCTATCGCCCAGCCCCTGTGAGCCCACGGCTTGGCTTTGGCTGAGAGAGGGGCCAGAGAGAGGAAGAGGGGCTCCAGGGAGAAGGGAGGGAGCCAGGGCTGTGCCGGCAGGGGCTGTGAAATCTGGGGGAGGACTGAGAATCCCAGCGGCTGCGGGTAGAAGCGCCCTGGGGCTGCTGCAGCAGTTCCACCAACTGGACTTAAATCCACTTGTCCCGCCACCCTCTGCCTCTGTCTTCACAGGGCATCTCTCTCTGCTTCTCTGTCCTCTCCTCTTTTTACAGGGACACCAGTCACTGGATTCAGGGCCTGCTCTAGGCTCGGGGAGATCTCATCCTGAGAGCCAGAGCTTGATACACCTGCAAAGACGATATTTTCAACTAAAGTCACAATCTCGGGCGCCAGGGTGGGACTTGGGCACGTCTTTTTGGGACACCGGTCAGCCCCAACACTGAGGTTCTGGACGGGGGTCAGTAGGAAGCTGGCTGTCAGCCTGGGAGGTCCCAGGAGCTGTGGGACCATGGGCCCCAATTCCAGGGTGTGTGGCTGGAGCCCTGCTCAAGGTGGGCTCAGGCCTGGCGCAGGGTGGTGTCCTGCCCATCTGCAGCTGTCCTCCGTCCCTCAACCCACTCCAGGGCTGGTGTCTCGAGGAGAGGTTTGAGGTGTCATCTGCACCTGTGAGTGTTTCCCAGTCATGCTGTGTGTGCAGGGCATGCAGGTGGAAGCCTCCCTGAATGAGACATGGTGTGAAGCCAGAGCGTGGGGTCAGTCCCCCAAGGCTTGAGGTCCTGCTAGCCTGGAAGGCTGAGGATGGAGGGTGCAAGCCTCGTGGGGCCACAGGTTGGTTCACTGCTCATGTACACCTTCCCCGCCTGCTGGGTGTCCCTCAGGGCGCTCGTGGTCCAGCGGGGGCTGACAGAGGGTGGCTCTCTAGATAGGACCCAGCTGTGGTCAGAGTGATGCCGCATTTCATAGGGGGTTCCACCAGAGGCTGGGGGACAGGGAGAGGAGAGAAAGAGACCCAGAGCTTTGGAGACAGGAGTCCAGTTCGCACAGGGCGTGGTCTGTTTCATACACTCAGGGCAGCGGACCTGGGGATGCTGTAACCACAGCTCTGCCTGTCCTGTCTCATGGAAGGTGTCTATCTGTCAGCCCTGGCAAACTGCCGGCACCCTCTTCTTCCAAAGACAGAAAACGGATTCCTGGGGAGTCTGCAGGCCTTCCCCGCACCCTTCCCGGCGCCCTTCCCGGCGCCCTTCCCGGCACTCTTCGAGGTGTTCTGACCTCCCAAGGGGCGGAGCCAGCTGGGATGCAGGCCGGCTGTGGGGCCTCTGAGGCAGCCCCACTGACCAGCCCACGTGGGATTTAGGAAGCCTTAGATGACTTGGTGTGCTCAGGGCCTGTGGGGGTTAGGGTGAGGGTTGGGGTTGTCGGGGAGGGGGAACTGCATTGTGGCGGCTCACCAAGGCCGTCATCCCACCAGAGGCCAGGTCCGGGCAGCTCCTGCCCTCAGGGCATGGGTCTGGTGGTAGAGCACTTCGGGGGCAGCACCTTTGCTTTAGTTTAGGGGCTCACCAGTCCTCCCACCACTGACCTCTGCCCAGCCTGCAGAGGGTCCCAGAGGTCCCTGTCCCAGCCTCCAGGGACATCTGGCACCCACATCCTTCTTGACCGTCATGAAGTAGGGCTAAGGTCATCTGGTCATGTGGCCGCCTGTCCCCCACCTCACGCACAGTCCACTGGCAGATGGCTCGTGCGAAGACATCTGTCAGAGTGTCAGCGCTCCACTGAGTTCTGCTGGTAGGCCTAGGTTAGCATTCTCAGGAGCCATTTCAGGCCATGGGTACCCACCGTAGGGGACCCACGGCCGGGTGAAGCTGAGGCGGGCGTTCGCCTTCTTCATCTCTGTGTCCTCAGGGCTGAGCACAGGGGATGCTGGATAGGAGTCACCACAGAATGTTTGTTGAGTGACTGATAGAAAGATGCTTGGGTCCTGAGACCTGCTGCCTTGTGGACTCACCTGGGCCTGATACCTGGGCAGACTGTTATGCGACCAACAGGTCCACCCTTCAGACTTATCATGTCAGAAGGTTCAGGACCCCTGGGAAGATGAGGTCTGCGGGCCCAGTGATAGAGCAGCCAGTTCCAACTCAATTGTTGCTCCAGCTGCGTAGACCAGCTGCGTAGACCAGCTGCGTAGACCAGCTGCGTAGACCAGGCGAGCAAGTGCCGGGTAGGCAGAGGGGACTCAGGACAGCCAAGGGGCCGGGACGGGCCTCTGCAGGGAGCTCGTGTGGTGGACAGCCCTCTCAGGGCCGTCGACGGCCACTGGACGTCCAGCCCACGGAGGACACGGCTGACCCCATCAGACTCTGGCCGTTAGAGGGCAGGGCCTGGTTAGGGCGGCACACCATCTAATCCTCAAGTGGGCTCCGCCTCCAGAGGCCGCCAGCTGCTCTCCCGCCAGTGCAAGGGCAGAGCCTGCTTGAGGTCTGTTTGAGGGGCACACGGCAGGTCCAGAGCTTGTGGAGCAGACGCCGTGTCTGAGGTGCCAGCTTCTTCTTCATATGGGGGTGTCTGCTGTGCAAAGTATGGGCCCTGAGAGCTCGTGCCCAGAAGTGTGAAAATTAGTCTGGGAGGGGGTAGCTTTTTGCAGAGGAGTGTCATCTTCATGCTCCACTCTTGGCTGCTGAATGAATGAATGAATGTGTTTTGAGGGAGTTGCCGTTTCGGGGCAGAAGGGTTTGCTGAGGCAGCCGTGTCCCGGGCAGCTGTGCTGCGAAGGAGCATTGAGCACGTAGGCTGGCAGCAGCCTGTGGTTGGCGTGCCAGGGGGTGCAGCAGCCTGTGGTTGGCAGGCCAGGGGCTGCTGCATTAAACGCGTCTGCCCGCCTGCGCCAGCGGCTCAGCCTCACATTGCTGGGCTTTCCAGGACAGCGGTCACCATGGAGATGGCACATCCTGGCAGGGCAGCCTGAGCGGCAGTGAAGAGAGATGGGGTTAACCCTGTGTGTGCTGGGCTCCTGTTCCTGACCGCTGTCCTGTCCTGGCCTGGTCTTGCTGAGGGCGGGGCTGAGTGGCCCTGTGACCTCGGGGGAGCTGGATCCAGGGGAGGCTCCGGACACATTCAATTCTTCCACGACCCGGAGAGCCTGGGCAGGTTCCCTGGAAACCAACCAGAGAGGGATGAGAGGAGCAGACAGCCTGTCAGCCAGTGGCCGCCCCAGTCTGGTGGCCCTTCCCCATCTCGCGGGGAGCTCCTTGCTCTGCTCATGGGAGAAGACTCTGAAATCATGCCCATTTCACAGGGATGTGGCTGGATGTTTCAAGTCTCCAGATAACTGGATTTTCTGTCTGTTGGAGATTGTGTTGTGGCCTATCTTCAGAGGTGGGAAGGGGCAGTGGGTTGCCTGGGCCCAGACCTCCGCCGCGTCTCAGGTGAGCTGGGCAGGTATTTGCAGGCACTGGGGGCTTCTGGGGAGACCCTGCCCTTAGGGAGTCTGGCCACGCAGGGAAGCTTAGGCTGTGCACGTGCCTGTCTAGAATTCGGTCCATATTATAGGTGTGGAGGGTGCTGTCCACCCTCCTGAGGGGCATTGGGAGGTGGCACTGGGTCATGGGCCCTAGCCCGGTCTCACTGTCTGCACTGTGGTCAGCCTGGCCCTCCAGGGAGGCCTTGGGGACCAGCTGTCAGGGAAGCCCAGGAGTGCCAGTTGCTGGAGGGTTCCCCTGCTGGACTGGACTGGGTCCCTGGGAGGGCCGCAGGAGGGTTGTCTGGCAGGTGTAGGGGTGGATGTGCCCTGTGGGAGCCTGGCAAGGGGCTGTCCCATGCCCCCACTCCAGCACCGTCCAGCAGGCCAGGTTTGGTGCCCAACAGCTTCCTCGCCTCTGCCCGTGGAGCCAACCCTGGCCATGCCTCGCCACCTTGGCTGGGGAGGAGCCACTGGTCTGAGACTGCAGAGGTGGGGTGGGCTTACTGTGCCCCACTCTGTGACTATAGTCCCTGGGCCCCTTATTCACACCACCAGGCCAGATGCATTTTGGGGTTCAGAACTGCATCCTCAGGGTCCCAGCAGCAGCAAATGGCTCACCAGAGGAAGGGTGACTGAAGGAGGGCTGGTGAGGGGCTCCTGGGGTCAGCGGAGGCAGTACTGTCCCTGCCCTGGCTAATGGGACATGGAGGGAGGGTCATGTGGAAGAGGCCGCCTGGAGAGCAGCAGTGACTTTCAGTAGAGGGACCTGGTGGCAAACTCCCACCTTGCTCGCCTGCCCTCCCACCCCATTGCCCCAACCCAGTCGGAAGCCAGAGGGCACGGGGGTCGTTGCCATGGTCCACACTGTCAGCCTCCAGACAGAGAATGGAGAGGGGGATGCACGCTGCAGGACAGGCGGGAAACGCTGGCACGTGGATGATTCAGGCTTGGGCAGGGCGGAGGGAGCCAGTCCCGGATGTGCCGGCTCTGAGACTCACATCACACGGGGCCGGGGAGGGACGGAGAACAGCCCCACGCCCATCCTGGCGAACTTCTGCCGAGGCTCTTTCCCTCTTTAGAGAGCTTTGGATGGGGGTTGTCTACTGGCACACGGTGCCCACCCTCCAGCCATCTCTGGCTGTGAGGCCTGGGCAGAGGCTTGGTCACCCCCACGAATACGCGTGTGAGTCTGGCTGGTCCTGCCCTCTTTGCTGTGATTGTTGGGATCATAGCCCGTGGCTTTAAGAGTGTCCCTGTGTCCTCTCCCCTTGTCTGGGACTCCTTGGGGTGGTTCAAGCCCTCCCGTTGCTGAGGGGCGGTTCTGCTGTCAGCCCAGCAGTCACCAAAACAGTGTGGCAGGGACTGGAGCCAGTGGCCGGGTTCCTTGGAGGCACGAGATGTCGCAGGGAGCCGCCCGCGCTGAGTTGGGCGCTGTGGCCTGGGTTCATCTGCAGCACCCCTGCGGCCAGGACTTTGTCTTGGCACCACTCTGCCCTCTGCGTCCAGCACAGGGTGAGCAGGGGCTCAGAAAGTGCCTGCTGGGTGAATGAATGAATGAAGGAATGAATGCACAGAGAGCGTGCCGGCCTCCATTGCCTCATCAGCAGCTGCCGAGTTCGGATGGCTGAGATTCCAGGGAGACCTTGTTTATGAAGTGATCCCTGTGAAGCGCTTTCCATGGGTCGCCTCCCTGAGATCCAGCGTGCTCACAGCTGCAGGCTACCACCGAGCCTGCTGGCCGGTGAGAGTCGGGAGCAGCCCCTTCTCAGACATGTGCTTGAGCAGGTGTGCTCCTGTGAGGAAGTCCCTCTCTCGGGGTCCCACTGGAGGGACAGTTCCTCTCCCTGCCCCCAGGAGCCTTAGGTTGCATTCTGGGCTGAGGCCACCCCAGGCTCATTCCAGGGACTTCAAACCTTGATGGAGCAATTCAGAGAAAGTGGATGTTTGCAGGCCAGGCAGGGGGGTGGGGTGGGGCGGGGGTCCTGACCATGTGCCCTGTATCCTCAGAAGAGGAAACATCCCTCTGAAGGCCATGGCCAAGTGTGCGCTGGCAGAGGCCTCAGGCCTCCTCCCACCCTAAGCCAGCTCCTTCCTCATGGCCGTGCCTCCTGAGCTCCCTGCGCTCAGCCCTGGTCAGATGGGCCCATCAAGCCAGTCCTCCCGGGGTCCAGGCCATGCGCGGATGGCCTGCAGGTGAATGGAGGCGCTCAGCACCGCAGGCTGGGCTCACACTCTGCAGGCTGGATGTCCGGGATCCAGGCACCTCGGGTTCCAGGCCTGCTGAGGGCCCGTTCCTCTTGCTGTGTGCTGGCAGGAGTGCGGGAGTTCCGTGGGGTCTCTCCTACGAGGGCACTCATTTCATTCACGAGGCTTCGTCGTCAGGACCTCCTCTCTCCCAGAGGCCCCATTTTCTAACCCCTCAGTGGACGCCAGCACACGGATCTGGGGACAAGCACCTGGAGCCGAGCTGCGGGCTACTGGGGATGGGCGGCGTCGGAAGTGTGTCGTGCATTCCGACCGTGGGTGCAGCCTCTTCTGTGAAATGGTGGGGACCAGGGTTCCAGGTCCCGGATCTGTGGGATGGCGTGACCCGCAGTCCAGGGCAGGCACTCGGAGCTATCTGAGGGACCGCAGGAGGGGGAGCAACCCCTCGAAGCCCCACAGGGCCCTACCCAGGAATCCTGAGGGTCTGACGGGCACTGCTGGTGGGGGTCGCCCGGGAGGTGCCATCCAGTGACCCTGCCCCTCCTGTCTCCGGCTGCAGCTCCTTCTTCTTCGCCTTCCTGAACCTCCTGGTCAGCGCTTTCGTGGTCTTCCTGGTCTTCATTGCCAGCACCATCGTGAGTGTGGGCTTCACCATGTGGTGTGATGCCATCACGGAGAAGGGCACCGTGCCCCACAGGTGCGCCTGCCCCACCCGCCCGGCCTCCGCCCCCCTCCTGGAAGGTCCCTTGGCACCCTGCCCAGCTCTGGGTGGCCTTCCTTCATGAAGCCCATCCTGCGTCTGCTGTCCCTGGTCCCACGATGCCCGTGCCTGTGCACAGCAGGGAAGCCCCTTCCCTGAGACCTGGCCCCCAATGTCAGATACTACTATCCCGCTCTAGGAGCTAGCAGCTTCACACCTCACCCACAAGCGGTGATCCCTGGGGCTGGATGTGGCTGGGGATGGCTCCAGGGAGTCAGAGACTCCGGCTGTCCTGTCCTTGCCACCAGGGCTCAGATGACAGATGGCTTGTAGTGGGGCCCCAGGTCCTGGGAGGCTCCATGCAGCCACACAGCCGGAGACCTGGGGCGTCTTTCCTGTGCTGGGTGCATGGGAGAGCATTAGGGTCCAGGCTGTGTTCCCCATGGTGTGGGGTTGGAAGGTGGAGGGGACAGGGATGGTGAAGAACAGGAGCAAAAGAAGCTTCTGGTAGGGTGAGGACCAGCTCCCAGGCGGGTTGGGGATGGAGGCCTTGAGCCATGGTGGTCCCCGGGCTCTTAGCAGGGGTGTCACTGGTTTGTGGGGGCCCTAGAGTGGAGCACGGTGACTGCCTACCCCCTATAGTGGGATGCCCAGCCCTGAGGGGCACCATCCTGTACCCCAGGCCAAGACCCTGGAAGGCAAGAACGCTCAGGCCACCTCTTCCAGAGGCTCCACATTCTTCCTTTAAGCAAACCCAGACCTGAAACCCCAGAGTCTGCAGCAGCTGGCAGCAGAGCCGAGGGGCTCCCTGCCTGCCTGTTGCGAGCCTCACTCGGGTCCCTGGGGCACAGACCAGAGGAAAGCGTGAGCAGTGGATGTGTGGCCCTGTAGGGCCTCCCACGCTGAGCTGTGCCCCATGCCCCATCCTGCTGTCCCAGCTCCACCTGCCAGCCTGGCCACCTGCTTCCCAAGAGCGTGGGTAACCCTGGTACACACTCAGAGTTCCCTTGCCGTCATGGACGCCCTTTCTAGCGCTTTGTTCCCTCCAGGGCGTGCGGGGCCGCTGGGCCTCCCTCCCTGTGGCGCCCTGCTCCTCTCAATCTGCCCTGGCATCACGTTTCCTGTAATCAGGACACCGACCGGGAGCCAAGCCTGGCTCTCTCCCGGGCCCTCTGACCCCACGGCCTCCGCAGATGCCCCATGATGGGACAGAGCCTCTGGGCGGCATTGCTGGGGACACCACCTCCATCTCTGTCTGGCTGAGGCCGCCCACATCTCCCGCCTCTGAGACCCTGTGACCCTCACAGGGTGGGGCATGGGGGTCGGAGGGTCCAGGATAGCAGAGGCCTAGCTGGCATTTTCCAGCCATCCAGGGCCAGGATGGGGAGGGGCCTGCAGGGTTCCTTCCCCAAAGGCTGTCCTGCTCCATGGAGGAGGCCTCAAGGCCAACCCCCCGTGGTGTCCCCAGAGACCCACCCCTGCCATCCTCCAGCCTTTGCAGGGCAAAGCTTGTGGCTCTCCGACCAGCAGCTCGGCCATGCCCCCACTGGCTGGCCTGGTGGTCACCTTCCACCCTGCCTCCTGCTGTTTCAGCTGTGAAGAGCTCCAGGACATCAACTTGGAGCTGGGCGTGGACAACTCTGCCTTCTATGATCAGTTTGCGATTGCCCAGGTAGGGGCTCCGGGTGGGAAGGGAGGCTTGCAACGCCGGGAGGGGCATTTACTGCTGGACATTCGCTGAGCTCCCCCTATCCAGAGGAGGAGGAGGCTCCTGTGCAGATGAGGTAGTTGGCCGTGGGGCCAGGCAGTGGGCCGCCATGTCTGCATTTCAGCAAATAGGGTCCCTCAGAGTGGGGGCCACCACGGCTCCCCGCCAAGTCTCCTAGGGGACAGGGGACACAACTTACACAAGGACAGCGTGGCACATCTTCCAAATTCACAGGCGAGATCCCCCGCTCCCTTCCTTGGACACTGTATCGGCTTCCCCCTGGCTAGGGGACGTCCCTAGGCCTCCAGCAATGATCTGGACAGGCCCACCCAGTGCCAGCACCAAAGCCCAAAGGCCCAGCTCTCCCCCACCTCCTGCAGGAAGCCTTCCTGACTGCTCCCACTGCCTGGGCCCGTGGCTAAGTACAGTGAGGGCCGGGGGCATCCTGGAATTGGGTTTGTGCTTTGAAATCTGCATGTGTGCCCCAGGCAGAGATGATGCTAATGAGGGGCGCCGGGGTGCGGGTGGCTGAGAGCAGATGCCAGGCTCCTGCCAGCACTGATCAGGGCTGGCCAGCTTCAGATCCAGTTCCGGACCCCAGACTGGCCTCTGAAGGCTCTGCTTGGCCGTGGCTGGCCTGAGGACATGTCCCCTGGCCGGTAGCCCTGCAAGGGTGCTGGACGTGGGTGGGCCTGGGTGCTTTTTGCCAAGATGAGCTGGCTCTGTGAAAGACACCTTAATGCACATTTAGTGGCCTAATTTGTGCCAGTTAGATTAAGGTGTGAGTGCAGTCTGTGACAGACCCGCTCAGATGAGAATCAGCTTAATGTGGCCTGGTTCTGATTAAATTGTTTCTCCTTCAGCTGTTTGGAAGCAGCGGCTAAAGGTCAATTTATTCAGGCGGTTGGAGGCGCCTCCGCTGTTGACTGGCCCTCCTTAGAGCTGGCAGGCCCGAGCTGCTGGAGGAGAAAGTGCTCTCCACTGCCCGCTGCCTGCTGCCCTCCCCAGGGCCTCTGCTGGGCCTGGAGTGAGGGTGGGTCTGAGTGCCCAGGGCTTCTGCACCAGAGGTGCACGGTGCTGGGAAATGATGCTGGCTGCAGGAAGGAACCCAGAAGCTCGGGCTTGTCCGGCACTGCCCTGTGTCCCCAGCCTCCTCCGTCCTCTGAGTCCTGTCTTTTCCCCGTAGAGCCGGGCCTGGGGGCGGGTGGGGGGGAGGCGCACTGACATCGGACCTCCCCCCACCAGCCCCTGACCCCAACCCTGCCCTCTGTGCAGTTTGGCCTCTGGGCCTCGTGGCTGGCCTGGCTGGCCGTCACCACGCTGGCCTTCCTGAAGGTGTACCACAACTCCCGCCAGGAGGACCTGCTGGACAGCCTGATCCACGAGAAGGAGCTGCTGCTGGCCCGGCCGTCCCCACGCACCTCCTTCCAAGAGGAGAAGAGCGCTGTCATTTAGACACAGTGCGGGCGGGCGGCGGGGGGAGCGGTCCCGGACCTCCCTGCTGCGCTCTGGGGCACAGGGCTTGCCTGGGGAAGCAGCTGGGGGGCTCTGCCTGGGCCCTGGTCTCATGCAGCCCTGTGTGTGTCCCCTCGAACTATGTGTAGTGAGGTGAGCGTCCCAGTGCCCACTCGTGAGCCCGGCGGTGGACTGGGTGGTTGCCGGCTCCCTGGTGAGGATGGCGCAGAGAGACTGTGGGGGCGCCGCCAGGCCCCGTGCCTGTCCCATAGGACCTGACTGGCTAGCCTGGCTGGAGGGCGTCCAGCTGGTCTCCAGCCCCAGCCCTATGCTGTCTCCACACCAGCTGGCCCAGGGGTAGCCAGACGTCACTCACCCCTGAATGAATTCTGCATGAACTCTGCCATCCAGGCAGAGGCTGCGTGTGGGCAGGGGCTCACGGCACCTGCCAGCCTTGCCCTGGGTTGGCCCCTCCCTGGCTGAGTCCCCCTCTTGGGTGGGTGCCACAGGCCTGGCAGACCCATGCCCTGCCTCAGGGAGGCTTCTGAGGCCCTGTGAGTTGGCCTTACTGTGTGTGGGTCCTCTGTGCTAGGCTGGGGGATGGGGAGGCAGGAACTTGGGCTCCACGAAGTGGGGGGCATCATCTGGCTGGGGGTTTGGGGGGCACACGTGCTACACAGGATGGCGCCAGGAGCCACGGCAGGGGGCTGTGTGGGTGAGTGTGCATGGGAGGGTGGGATTCTGTGAGTGCCTCTGTGCATGGGAGGGTACAATGGTGTGAATATGTGAGTGATGAGAGAGTGTGACTGAGTGTGCATGGGAGGTGTGAGGGTGTGACTGCATGTGAGGGTGTGACTGTGCATGGGAGGTGTGAGTGTATGTGAGGTGTGAGTGCATGTGAGGGTGTGAGTGTGCATGTGAGGGTGTGACTGCATGTGAGGGTGTGACTGTGCATGGGAGGTGTGAGTGTGTATGTGAGGGTGTGAATGTGCATGTGAGGGTGTGACTGCATGTGAGGTGTGAGTGTATGTGAGGTGTGAGTGCATGTGAGGGTGTGACTGCATGTGAGGGTGTGACTGTGCATGGGAGGTGTGAGTGTGTATGTGAGGGTGTGAATGTGCATGTGAGGGTGTGTCTGCATGGGAGGTGTGAGTGTGTATATGAGGGTGTGAGTGTGTATGTGAGGGTGTGACTGCATGTGAGGTGGGTGTGTGACTGCATATGTGAGTGTGACTGCTGTGAGGGTGTGAATGTGCATGTGAGGTATGAGTGTAGGTGAGTGTGTGAGTGTGTATGTGTGGGTGTGACTGCATGTGAGGTGTGACTGTGTGTGTGACTGCAGGTGTGACTGTGTGAATGTGAGGGTGTGACTTAGTGGATGTGAGGGCATGATTGTGAGTGTGCATGGGAGCATGTGAGTGTTCATGGATGTGAGTGTGCGTGAGTCCGTGTGAGGGTGTGACTGCATGTGAGGGCTTGTGTGCATGGGAGCGTGTAGGATGTGAGTGTGTGAGGGTGTGAGTGGGTACCTGCGACATGTGCATGTATGTGAGTGTGTGAGGAGGAGCATGGTGTGTGTGTGCTGGGCAGGGGCGTCTGCACAGTGTGTGTGTGCAGCATGGGCAAGTGCAGGCAAGCATGCCTGTGCTGCATGTGAGCATGCACTAGCCTGTGAGTGTGCCTGTGTGTGTGAGGGGACTAGTGCATGTGAGCATGCACTAGCCTGTGAGTGTGCCTGTGTGTGTGAGGGGACTAGTGCATGTGAGCATGCACTAGCCTGTGAGTGTGCCTGGGCACTGTGTGGCAGCCCCCCACCCCTCCTGTGGGCCCTTGTGCCCAGCATCCATCTGAGAGAGGGGGGAGCTGACTTCCCATTCTGCAGTTTGTGTGCCAAGGCCCCGAGGAGGCAGGTGGAGGAGCTGGGATGTGAACCTGGGACCCCTAGGGTGTGGGGGTTGCTTGACTGTGGACCCCATCCTTCAGGAGAACCCAGGGCCCACCTCCTCTGAAGGTTCCAGGATCCTTGTTCTGAAGCAGGGGGCCTCCCCACCTGGGGCTCCATGAGAGGCTGTCTGTTTCTTGGCTGAGTGCTGCTAAGTGCTCCCTGCTGCTGTGCCCACCCTCCTGGGGAGAGGCGAGCCCCCCGCTCCCCATGTTGGTGACCCACCCTGTCCACCAGCAGTTGGCTTGTGCCTCTGGGTGGCTGGGCACCAGTCTCCTGGAGGCCACATGCCTGGGTCTGCATGGAGGGGACTGGTGGGACCATCATCCTGCATCCTGGGAGTGAGGCCAGCAGGTGACTGGTCAGGCTGTGGTGAGGGCAGGTGCCCATCATGGGGTGTCAAGGCCGGGGGACGAGGCCCTGGCAGCTCAAGGGGGCTCTGGCCTCGGAGCCCAGCTGAGTTTCCAGCTGGCAGCCAGGTCCTCAAGGGAAGGGGTTTAGACAGAATCTGAGGCCCCGAAGCTGATGGGGTCCCCTGTGTCCCCTGCCAGCCCTGACCCACTGGACATGGGGACTCTTTCCAGCCTCCCCCTGCCAGCCCTGACCCACTGGACATGGGCACTCTTTCCAGCCCCAAGAGCTCCTTGCCTGTGTCTCCAGCAGAAGGTGGGGCGGCTCCTGCCTCATGTCTGCCCAGCCCTGATCCAGGCCACAGCCATCTAGGGCCCCGGAAGGAGGGGCAGGAGGCAAGGGCGGCTTCTGGCACCCGAGGGTCGGCCCCGGTTGGGTCTGCCCTTGGTGGCTGCGCTGCTAGATTCCAGGAGCTGGTCTGGGGCAGCCCCGTGGCCAGGGTGATGGACATCCATGCTGCACGTAGACATGGACCCGGCCCGGGCTGGGGGTCGCTGGAGCCCAGACACCCTGGAAAGGGGAAGCTGGGCCTGGGGCGTGCTGGGCGGGGACTGGGGTCCTGGCCATGGGCTCTGCAGGGTCCCTTGAGGGGCTGGGCCTCTCCCAGGCAGGAAGGTGGGAAGTGGGGGCGTGACCTAAGGCTCCGGAGGCAGATCCCCCGTGCTGCTTCTGAGCTGCCTTCGCTTCTCTCCTGGCTGTGTGATAATGGATATCCCTGTTCTAATTCCACTCTGGCTAAACTGAAGGAAAGATCCTACGCTTGCATGTGTCCGTTCCTCAAAGTCGAAATAAAAGCAAAAGCTCCCGAGTCTCCAGCAGGGACGAGGAGGAGCGTGGGTTCTCTGCCCTCGCCGCCCTCCGCCCGCCTTGCTCTCATGGTTTCAACTGCCTGTCATTTGGGGGCCACACGCAGTGCCCCTGGGCTTTGGTCCTTTCGTGTCGGAAGCTTTTAGGAAATAGAGGTTGTCCTTCCTGAGGTTCTGCCCTCTGTACGTTTCCCAGTGGCTTCGAGTCACTGCTCCGCGTGTGGCCTTCGCAGGCAGGAGGTTCCATTTGGAAGGATTTCTTGGGGGTGTGGCTCCATCTTTGAGCAGTATTTATTCAAAAACACGTGAAGTCGTATCGTGGGACCCTGCAAAGCCAGGCGTGACCCTGCATTGCCTTTGCAGTGGACAGGCAGTCACGGCTGGGGGAGATCGGCCTGGGCGGCGTCCTCGTCAGAACCGGGGCTGGTGGGCGGGGGGGTGGCCCCAGGCTGCAGAGCCTGAGCCTGAGCCTGTGACTGGCCTGAGACCCAGCCTTCGGGGAATCGGCCCATCCTGCCCCTTGGGGTGGGAGGAGACGGGCTGGGCCTGGGTGGGCGGCGCCGTGGTGACCGTAGGGAGAGCGTGATGCTGGAGGGCCTGGGCCGTCTCCGCCTGGTCCCTTCTGGGCCACTTCTGGAAACAGCCCCTTTTCTTGCCTCCACCCGAAACTCTGGGCTCCCTGGATTCCAAAGCTAGAAGCAACGCTGGAGTCCATGGCACCTGTTCCCTGGACCTGGGGTGGGGGGACACGCCCTGACAAAGGATGAAGACCCAGGGGCTTGGCAAGCCCCCCACTGGGCAGACGTGCCCTCCCGCAGGCCTGCAGGAGACTGGGTGCTTCCAGGGACCCAGGACATCTGCTCTGCTCACGGAGGCTGGTTCCTTAGCAAATCTGTTCTGGCTTCTGTTTCTATACAAACTCCAAGACTGAAGGAGGCCACAGCGCGTTTTAATAGAACAGTGTCTCCCAGCTTGGTGATGGGACAGACAGACAGGAACCACTGGACGGGTCGTCCGCTGTGCCCTCGCCTCTTAGGCCAGCCCTGAGGACACTAGTCTGATTGTCCCTGGGCAGTTCTGCCTAGTGTCTGACGGTGACACTAGTCTGATTGTTGCTGGGCAGTTCTGCCTGGTGTCTGACTGTGGGCCTCCCTGCTTTGTTCGGCCCTCCCCCCTGTGTAGGGTCTGGAGGGGCCCCTGGTGTTTGTCACCCACAGGGCTCCCTTCAGCTCTGCAATCTGGCGACAAAGCCACAACCACAGACGGTCGCTGGGACCCACGGGCCCCAGCTGGTGGGTGGCACTGGCTGGCCCCAGGCTCTATTGGGTGTCCCCGCCCACGGAGCTGGGCACACGTGGCTCTGTTCTGAAGACCGGAGGTGTCTGGACCCACAGAACTGAGCACAGATGGCCATGACCTGGAGGTCGGGAGTGTCCAGGCCCCTTGCTGTCCCCTTGGCTTCTACGCCTGAAGCCACCCCGATGAGAGTCCTCCCCTGGAGCCTCTCCAGACTCATGGGGCTGAAAAGGGGGTCAGACCTGGGCTCAGAAGACTGTACCTCACCTCAGAGGGGCCCATCTTGACAACCAGACCCTTCCCACCCCATGGGTTTCGAGGTCTGGGTCCTCCCAGGCCCTAATAGCAGCTAAAGGCTGGGTTTGCCTCCTCTGAGCAGCCCCTCAGACACAGGCAGTGTGTCCTCCCCAGAGGGCGTGTATGGCTGTGGCCGGGCCAGGCCCCAGCCACTGTGGGGTGCCTGCTGGGGTGAGGGAGGGGTCTTCGGGCGAGCCTGGGGAGCCCCAGCATGGGGGCCCCCAACATTAGCAGTCGGATCCTCTTTCTAGTAAGATCTCACATGGACCCAACACAGGAGACAGGGGCGCTGTGCCGACGGGTGTGGCAGGGCCGCCCGCTGTGCCCGTGTCCGCTCTCATGCCAGGGGGTCCCCCTGTTCCCAGTCCGCCCCAGGCAGCAGCCTCTCCTGGCCCCCACAATTCATCAAGCAGCAGGGCCAGGGCTCAGGCTGTCTTGGAGCCCCGGGGTGCTGGGGCTTTCCCGGAAGCCTTGCTCATGCGCCCGTCAGAGCCACAGCAGGCCGCGCCAGCTGGTGAGGACCGCGTTCCGCAGGTGCAGGACAAGGTGGAGGAGCCGGGCCCACAGGTCCTCCAGCGCCGCTGCCACGGGCTTAGGCCGGCCACAGCACAGGCCCAGGGCCACCGCGAGCAGGACGCACACGCACAGCCGCAGGAGCAGGGAGCCGCCGCGTGGCCTGGGCCCGCCCGGCGCTGTGGCCAGAGGGCGGGCAGCATCAGTGCCAGCGCCAGCCAGCCAGCCCCACCCTTCCATGGGGGACCTGGGTTGGTGGGGAAGGGATGGGGAGATCCCTATCCTGCCCCTGCCCACGGCCCCTCCCCAGCCTCGTGGGGCCTCCTTAGAGGCTCTGGCCCTGTGATACCTCCCTCAGGGAGAGAGTGAGGGTGGGTGCACGCAGGGAGGGGCCGTGGGGGCAGGGATGTGGGCTCAGAACTCACCCTTGACAGTGGCCGTGGCGTCCCTGACAGCAATGTCTGGGAAGGAGAATGGAGAATTGGCCGGGGGCACCTGCCCTCTCATCTCACCCTGCACCTCCAAAGGACCCTGAGACGATTCATCGCTGAGAGACCCAGACCCGGCAGGGTCCTGAGACTTCCCTGAGAGCATGGTCATGATTCAAGAAGCCGCTGTCATGTTTTCCTCCAGTTGCCATTTCACGGCCAGGACTGTGTCCAGTGACCCCACGGGCCCAGGTCGTACTGGGTTCTGCCACTGAAGACAGGTGGCTGTGGTCCCCCCATGCCTGGGCCCTGCCAGAGCTGTGTGGGTGTGGCCGGTGCCCCGACTCCCTCTGCCCGGACACCAGCCCTCCCAGCCGCTTGCTGCGGGTGCCCTCTTACAGTGGACGGTCACATCTGGGGGCTCTCGGAACCGCACGTGCCTTGAGGTCCTCTGGGGCTCGGGCCCTGGGCCGCAGTGCTCCGGCCGGCTCTGTTTCAGGATGGAGTGGGGGCACTTCCTGTTGTCCTCCTGGAACAGGGGCGGGAAGCAGCCTGGTGAGTCCCCTCTGCCGGACACAGGCCCCCTCTTCTGGGCTGTATGCAGAGGGAGCTGCTGTGGGGAGCAGAGAGGGGCATGGAGACCCCCTAGACCTTCCTGTGGGCAGCTCCATCGTGGAGGGGTCAGGGAAGAAGCCCCTATGGTGTGGCGTGGACTTGGTCAGGGACCAGCAGACAGGCTCGCCCCCAGCTCTGTCCCCTCGCCCACTGGGGTCGGGATTAATTTCTAGGTGTGACGATCATGGCGGCTGCTGACAGGGACTGGGAGTGTCTTTGTCTGTGTTCTTCGGAGGCTGCACACACAAAGCCTCCCTGAGCTCTCAGGATGCCCCACTGGGAGGCTCTGCTCATGCCCAGGCATGGGGAGGCCAGTGACCGGGCAGGAGGCCGGGTGGGACCCAGGTCTGAGCCAGGAGGGGCCAGCATCACTGTCCCAAAGCCTGTGCCCCGTTCTGCCTGGTGTGCTCTGCTGGGGCTGTCACCTCCTGTGGGGTGAGGGGCGGCGCCCGGACAGGGACTGTAGGGCAGCCAGGCTCACCTCGGGGGCCCAGGCAAGACGGGAGCCCCTCCTGCCTGCCTCTTCGTGCAGGGCCCTAGCCTCTCTTCCTCTGCCGCTGTCTCGGATTCAGGTTGCTGGACAGGGTCCCCAGGACGTGTGGACAGCGGGAAGGGCTGCATTGGTGGAGGGGCTCTGGCTGAGGGGCTAGAGTCTGCAAGCTCCATGGGGCAGGGCTGGGGCAGAGCCATGATGGGGGCTGGTTGGTGGCCTCCGCCTCCTTTTCCTGAGCCTCCCAGACTGCGGGCAGGGGCAGCTCCTGCACATTCGCCTCCCTGGGCCTTTCTCATGCCGGTCTGCTCAGGTGTTTGGGCCCTGCCTGAGTTTGGAAGCTGGAGCTGGAGTTTTGGGGTGCTGTGAACCTCAGCATCCTGGCCTGTGACATGGTGACAACTGGGGCTGAGGTGCCCTGGGAGCGGGGCCGGCACTGAGGTCGCTCCTGGCTGGGGCATTGCTCGCTGCACACAGCCTGCTGCTCCGTGCCCAGCAAGGCTGCCCCCGAGGGCGTGAGGCCTGCCTGGCACCTCCCGTGCCCATGGCCTGTCCAGGCCTGGCAATGCCTCAGAGTCTGGAGGGAGCCTCTGGCCTGAGGTCTGGCCCCTAACCCTAACCCTGACCCTTGGTGACAGTCTCCTCTCTCCACCGTCTTCTCTCCTTCAACAGCCTCTGCCCTGCCCAGGGCTGCCTCTTCCACAGCCTTCCATGGCTCCCACTTTCTCTGCCACCTGGGGGCCTCCAACGCCCTCTGCCGACTAAACCCTTCAAGGCGCCCATGGCAGCCCCTCTGCTCCCCCCAGCCCTTAGTGACCCCCTTGCCCTCCTCCCATCACCCCTGATTCCTTTCCTCTTCACCAGCTCCCCGCCCCTCCAGCCCCAGTGGAAGCCCAGCCTGCAGAGCCTGCATCCCAGCGCCCACCTTACCCTCTGCGCCCCACACCCCCGCGGGCCCCACGCGGCTTCCTCATTCTTCCTGGCCTGATGTGGCGTCTCTGGCCGGGAGTCGGGGCTCAGGGCTCCTGCCGCAGGCCTCATTTACTGGAACATGGTCCTGGGATAAGCAAAGACGTTATTATTTACTGTGCACGCAGCGTCAGAGGAATGAAGATAAGAGGAGATTCTTCCCCGGACGCCAGGCTGGCTTCCCGGGCCCGCGACCGGCCATGCCGACGAGCAGCGCCTTCTCCTCCATGGCGCCCCCTCGCCGATAATTCCTGCTCCCTGCTCTGCCAGAAATGCCGTGGCAAGCACTTCCCTCTGCTGCCACAGGCTTTCTAACCATCATCTGAAATGGCTGCATAGTATTCCACTGGGCCGAGGGCCTGTCCTGCAAAGCCGCCCCGATGCCGGGTGTTCAGGAAGTTTGCATGTTAGTGTGGCACTGGCAGTGCTGTGGGGTCGTGGCTAAGGCTGCAGGAAACATCTTCGCTTCGTCTCCTTTCAGTAGCAGCGATCCCTGGGCTCTTGGGCTGGGAATTGGGGCTCTGAGGCTGGGCCCCAGAAAGGCTTCCCAGAGGGTCATGCCCACTTTTTTGGACTGGTGCTGGTGGGGCACCCCTGGACTCCTGGGGGCCCACCCCTCAGCACAGTTCAGATGCTCTGTATCCCTTTCTGCCCCCCGATTCTGTCTCTCTCTGCCTCTGTCTCTGTCTCTGTCACCCTGCCTCTCTCTGATTCTGTCTCTGTCTCTGTATCTCTCTGCCTCTGTCTCTGTCTCTCTGTCCCCCTGCCTCTCTCTGATTCTGTCTCTGTCTCTGTGTCTCTGTGTCTGTTTCTGTCCCCTCCTCTGTTGCGCTGCTGGCTTCCCGGCTGTGAATGGTGCCTCCTTACCTTAATCCCTGGGTCTTTGGTGGTGGAGGCTGTACTCTCCTCATTCTTGCTCACTGGTGGAACCCCCACCCCAGTGTGAATTTTCCCTTACCGCCTTGGTGGGGTTCTTGACTTCTGGGTGCTCCTCCTCCCTGCTAAGGGGTGCAGAGCCCACTGGGCTTCCTGCAGGGAAGCTGGCCCTGAGTGTCTGTATTTCAAGGGCCCTGGGGGTGATAAGCCTGCTTCTCTCGCTGCAGGTTGGGAAACTGAGGCCAGAGGGGGCTGGTGCTTCCCTGGGAGCTGATGCCAGGCCAGGTCCTCCCTGCCCTTGCTCCCAGCTGGATAGGGGGCGGTGTGGGGGCCTCCTGCTGCCCAGGCTCTCCCCTCCTCTGGGGTCCTGGGAGGGCATTGGCACCCCGCCCCTCACAGGGCAGGTGTTTACATTTCCTGAGGTGCTTCCCTGGCTTCCACTGATGCCCCAAGGACCCTGTCCCTGAGGGCTGAGACACGCAAGAGCAAGGGTGAGGGGCTTACATGGTCCTCAAGGACATTCCTCCAGGGTCCCCACAGGGCGGGTGCCTCAGAGGTGCAGGGCAGGCCTGTGGGAGGAGCTGGCTTGGGTAGACTGCTGTGCCTTCCTCTATAGGAGATAACAGGGTGGCTGTGACCGCTTCCCTGAGCGGCGTAAATACTGCAGATGAGCAGAGCGCCCCGTTAATGATGTCTGGGAGGACGCTGTCTGGATGGGTTCAATTATTTCAAAAGGGAGCAATTTTCTCCTATCTCAGATCAGGTTTTTATTGCAGATAGGATTGTGGCAGGAGCTGGCCGTCCTGGGGGGGTGGGGAGAGGGCAGCTTATCTTCAGGACCTGCTCTCAGAGCGTGGTCGTGGGAGAGGTGCTGCTCCAGGGCTGGAGCCCCAGTTTGAGCTGGGGCTCCGTCTCCTGGGGCCAAGGTCACTGGAAAGGCGGGCTCTGCGTGATCCCCAGGGTTAGGGAAGCCGCAGAGTGCTGGGCCCGTCGTGGTGTTTTGGGGCTGCTGCCTGGCAGGGCAACCTTGACCACCAGTCCACAGCAGGGCTGTGGGGAGGAGTTCTCCAGATGCCCTGGGCGGAAAAGAAACTCTGCTAAAGCCCAGGGGTGGGGTTGGGGGTGGAGCAGAGACCCCCAGCGACCTCCTGGAGCCAGAGCCCTGGCTCTCCTGCTGCCCGGCGGAAGGAGGCTTATGCATTTGGGGCATGTCCTGTGGCTGCACAGCCTGGGTCCCTAGAGCAGCCTTCCAGGGGCCCAGCCAGGTTCACCCCTCATGAGGAAACAGGCCTGGAGAGGTTCAGGCCAACAGCGATGGGCAGGGACGCAGGGCTGGACATCGCCACCCCAGCTCCTGCCAGGACCACTTGCTGTTCAGCCCTCCTGGGCTGGGGTCTGCCAAGGGCTGGTGGAACAACAGTGTGTGTGTGTGCACATCTGTGTGAGTGTACACGTGTGAGCATGCCTGTGAGGGTGCATACATGTTTGCATGCAACGGAGTGTGCATGTGTGTGTGAACTGCACATGTGATGTGTAAGCGTGCATGTGTTAGTGTGTGTGCACGTGTGTGTGAACTGCACGTGATGTGAGTGTGCACGTGTGTGAGGGTGCACATGTGAGCTGCATATATGTGTGTGCATGTGTGAGTGTGCATGTGTGCACGTGTGAGTGTGCGTGTGTGAACTGCACATGTGATGTGAGTACATGTGTGCATGCGTGTGAGTGCATGTGAACTGCACGTGATGTGAGTGTGCTTGTGTGAACTGCACATGTGATGTGTGTGCACTTGTGAGTGTGCACTTGTGTGAGTGTGCACATGTGAACTGCACGTGTGACGTGTGAGTGCACATGTGTGAATGTGCATGGTGGCATGGCTGTGTGCATACATGTAGTTGTATTTGTGTGTGTGCCTGTGAATGTGTGTAAGTGTGTGTGTGGGTGTCCCTGCATGTGCCTGTGTGCACGTGTGTGTGAGTGTATCTGCATATGGGTGGCCGGATGTGTGTCTGTGTAGAGTGTATGTGAGTGTGCCTGTGTGGGCAGTGTGTTCGTGTGGGCGCCTGGCTGTGGCATCGACCTACTGTTGCTGAGCAGCGTAACTTGGAGAGGATGTGACTTCGCCGCCTGGGAACAAAGCTCTGCCCAAGCATGGACCCTCAGGACTTCCTGTGGGTTGGCACCTCCCCCTCTCCAGGTTGCAGGCCCACGTGTGGCCTTAGGCACGTCTCCTAAGCTGCCTGGGCCTCAGTGTGTCAGCTGTGAGTTGGTGAGGAGAGCAGCAGCCTCTGTGGGCTGGCGTGAGGGCAGGAGTTGGTACACAGACCCGAGTCCGCCATCAGCCACTGTTGCCCTCACTCCGGGAGGGGATGAGAACTGGCCACCCAGGAGCAGAGCTCAGGTGGCTCTGCCACGTCTGGACAGGCAGGACTTCCTATGGGGTGCCACTTCCCCTCCTGGAGACTCGGGGCCCTCTCCAGAGATGCACCTCCACGTGGGTCAGGCTCTGCTCCCAGGCGGCCCCCAAGCCCTGCCGACCCCTCCCTAGCTGGGCGAAGGGGAGGCCGGCCCAAGTCCTGGGCTCTGTCCTTTCTGGCTCTGTGACCTCCCTGGGACTCATTTTCCCCACCGGAAGCAGGGGAGGAGTGGCTCTGGCACGCTGGGCGGGTGGGGGCGGAGAGGCCTGGGGCTCTGGCAGGGACCACGTGTCACTGGAGGCCTCGTGACAGATGCAAGATAGGGGTGGAAATAGCTTCAGAGCCTGGGCCTGCCAGTGTCCCGCTAGGCCAGTTGTGGGGCGGGCGCGTCCGCTGCAGCACCCGATGGAGCCTCCCTCCCTGTTGGGGGCTTGGGGGGTTCTTACCAGCTCCTCTACTGAGAGGGGCACCAAGCTCCCCTGGGGGAGGGGAAACTGAGGCCTAGGTAGGGAGAACGACCTGCCAGGTCTCAGAGCCTGGGTTGGGGCAGAGACTGAGGCCAGGGCTGGGAGCGCCCGCTGTGGGCCTGACAGGCTGGTGCTGCCGCCGTGAGAGCTGGCGCCATGAGGGCTGAGGCCCAGGGCACTGGTCTGGGGTGTGACCCTCCAACGGTCTTTTGGGGTCTAGCCCAGTACCCCAAAGACCTGACCTCATCTTGAAGCCGTTGAGAGATGTGAGGGCACTGATGGAGCCCAGCGGGGCCAAGTCCCTCCACCACCAGACCGGCCTGCAGCGGGGCATGGGCTGGGCAGAGGTTCTGGCTGGGTTCAGGGGCTTGGATAATGCCAAGCTTTGGGGCCCAGCCTCTGTGGCTCCTTCCCACTCCTGCCCAGCCTCCAGAACCCCACCCACTGGGCTCCCTCCCACTCCTGCCCAGCCTCCAGAACCCCACCCACTGGGCTCCCTCCCACTCCTGCTGGGCCTCCAGGACGCCACCCACTGAGCTTCCCATCTCCTCCCAGGCTGCTGCCTCTGCCTGCCCCGTGCCGCTGCCCTCTCACCCACAGCCCATCTCCTGAGGTTTCTCTGTCCTCACTGAGGGCTCCTCAGGGTGAGCAGGACCCCCCCATGAAGCAGCTCACTGGAGGGAGACTCTGACACCCCACCCACCCCACACAGAGAGGGCCCTTCCTCGGCTCTGAGCACGTGGCCCGGCATTTCCAGCTCAGCCCTATAAACGTGCTGTGCCCGTTTATACCGCAGCTTCACAGCCTTCCAGGTGTGGGGGTCCGGGGGTCTGAGCCACCGCAGGCTGGGGCCGGGCTCCCTGCCTCCCCGGCACAGGGGCAGCCTCCCCCAGGGCCTCTCACTCAGGGGCTGGAGACGGGGGTCAGCCTCCTCAAAGCCAGAGACCTCCCTGGGAGAGGCTGGTGACTCATAGCCCCCACCTCACCGCTTACACACACACACACACACACACACACACACACAGACACAGACACACACACATGAACACACACACTCTGTCTCTCTGTCTCTCTCTCTGTCTCTGTCTCTCTCTCTCTCTCTGTCTCTCTCTCTGTCTCTCTCTCTGTCTCTGTCTCTCTCTGTCTCTCTGTCTCTCTCTCTGTCTCTCTGTCTCTCTTTGTCTCTCTCTCTCTCTCTCTCTCTCTCTCTCTCTCTCTGCCCCTGCCTACCTGGGCTCTTGCCAGTGCTGCACCTGGGGGTGGCTCGCCCACCTGGCCGGCCCCGAAATCCACTGTTGGCCACAGCCTTGCTGTGGCGTGTGTGAACCGGAGCTCTTGCGGCTCACGGCTCAGCTGACAAGTTTCCATTACGGTGACACAGAGCAGTGGCCTCAGCGGCCCCGAGGGCCCTGACCGACTTGCTGCCCTTGGGACAGCCGGGTCCGTGGGGAGCCTGTCGCCCACGGGCTTGGTGGCACAGGCAGAGCTGGGTCTCCTCACTCTCCCAGGCGCCTCGGGAGTTTGGCCGCAGGCCTAATCCGCTGACCCTGGGCTGCAGAGGCGGGCGGTGGAAGAGCACAGCCAGGCGGGGCGTCTGGGCTCCTGGGAAAAGCCTTGGCTCCCAGCCCAACACTCACCATGGAACCACGCTGGCCCCTGCCACATGACACTCGTGCCCAACTTAAGTAAGAGGGAACTTGTGTGGAGGCCCCTGGCGGTGATGACCGCGTGCCGGCCTTGCTCAAGTGCCCGCAGGCTCCACCAGGAAGGAGCGGGAGCAGGAGCTGCCTGGTGGCCGCTGAGGCCCCTTTCTGTGCCTAGGTGGCTGGCCCTCACACCCAAGGTGCAGTTTGGGCTCGGGTGGCAGCAGTGCCGGGTGACAGCTGCTCGTCTGGTGGGTGCTGGAGCACCCTAGGCCTCCAGAGCCCCAGACAGACACGGCGGTGCACCCCCAGGCCCTCCCTCCCATACGTGGAATGGGGTTGTTGGCCTGCTGTCCAGGGCACTGCAAAGCTCAGTAGGTGCCCAAGAAATGGTGTCCTGTGCAGGGTGGGGTCCCATGGCCACACAGGGTGGGACAGGGATTCCCAAATGCTGAGAACCAGTCTCCGGTCCCCGGAGTCACGAATCCATTCCTGCTGCGCTGGCCTGCGTAGACCTGCCCTCTCAGGATGCCCCCACCAGGGCCCTGTGGGAAGGCTGGCTGGGCTCACGCCCGACACGGCTCCCTGCATTTCGCTGAGAGTGAGGCCCCTTCTCCCACTGGCCAGGCTGTGTCACCCATCGGGTGCCCTGGGAGGCTTTAGTATGGCGAGACCCTTGCCCCAGCTGCTGGGTTTAAATCAGCTGGGATCCCTGCTTCCCCCAGAGGCGCCCCGGCCTCAGGCAGTGTGGACACAGGGCCAGCCTCGGACTCTCTCCGTTTTAGGGAAACCGTCAGTCCCAGGAGAAGAGGGAAGGGTGGCCACCCTGAGCTTGTCCAGGCCACTCAGGGCCATCAGCGTGTGCTCTGTCCAGCCTCTGCCCACACCTGCTGCCCACAGGGGGCAGGGTTCGCACCTGCGCCTGCCCTTGGCAATCTCTCTGCTCTGGCAGCTTCACACCCAGGTAGGTAGTCAGCCCTTCTGCCTGGGGCTGGAACTCACCTGGCTCTTTCCTGGCTCCCTGAGGGATGGAAACAGGCTCTTCGGGGCCTCTCTGCGGGGCACAGTCCAGTGAGGTCCTGGCCCCTCCCGGCTGGTAACACCCACCCCCCAGGCCCTTGAGAGTGAAGCCTCAGACAGGACTGCAGGGCACACAGGGGGACGGGCCTGGCCTGCCCGGGCCTCCTTGCGAGGGCCCCGGTCTGGAGGTGCCACCACCCGCCTGTGGGGCTGGGTGTATAGTGGCCTTCGTCTGCCTCCAGCCCTCTCTGCTGGATCGCAAAGCTGGGCCAGCTGGCAGCGGCAGTGCTATAATTACCTCTCCCCTTTGGCAGAAATAGCAGCGACCCCGAGGACAGGCCGCTGGCCTCAGAGCAGAAGGGGTGGATGTTTCCCAGGCCCCCAGTGGACAACAGACCAGGACTGCAGATAAGACCGGAGTTTCATGCCGTTCCCCGCCCTCCTGGCCCAAATGTGCCCCCTCCCAGGCCAATTCCAGAGCTGTGCAGCTCTTAGAGAAACCTGTGGATTGGAATTCAGGGCAGAGAAGCGGGGGAGGGCACTGGGGCTGCGGGAGGGGAGGAGATCAGAGTCCAGCCTCCAATAAGACCCTGACCCAGCAGGGGGCCTCTGCGGTGGAGAGGGTGCCCGCTCTGCCCCTGGCCCCTGTGCTCCTGTGTCCCTGTGAGTCCTGAATTGGGGTTGCCAGAGGGAGAGGCAAAGAATGGGTCCCATGCTGCTGTTTTGGGGCCCACTGGCCCAGCGTCAGAATTGCCCTGGCAGGAGGGGGCAATGTCTGGGTCAGTGTGGATGGCAGGGGTGAGGGGCCAGCCTTTCTCAGGGTCTGTCCTGGGCTCAGAGTCCACCCACCCTGCCTGGCAGTTGCTGAATCTGCCCCTCATTTGCAGATGAAAGTGCAGCTCAGAGCGGCGAGGCCTCCTGCCCAGAGTCACACCACCCAGAGGTGGCATCCCGGGTCAGGCTTGGTGGCCCGTCCTTGCCAGCCCTCAATCTGCTGGTGCACGTAAAGGCAGGTCTGAGAGGCTGGTGAGGGCACCACCACATGTAGGCAGACCTCTGCCTGGTTTGTGGGGCTTTGAACCATTTGAGGGAGCTGCAGGAGGAGGTGTGGGGAGACCTGTGTTGCTCCATTAGGAGTGGGGGTGCAACTCCCTTGCATCAAGCTACAGGACCCCCGGGAGCCCGGGGTGTGTCGGGCTGGGGGACAGCGGGTGACGCTCAGGGCCAGCTGGGGGGCTGCCTGGACACGGTGGTCAGGAGCCCACCATCTGAGCATGCGCATGGCGGCCATTGGGGTGAGGTTCCGCAGACGGGCACTCCCTTCGCCTCACCGCCGCCTTCTGTACAGCGCAGGGGTGGCAAACTCCTCTCATAGAGGGCCGTATGCACACAGTGCACTCTGTGTCTACACAAACGGGTGGGCCAGACTGGCCGGAGGGCCGGGGTTTGCTGGCCCCTGTTCCAGGGACAGCCCTGAGGAAGGCTGGCTGGTCCTGCTGGCATCCTGGCTTCCTAGGAAGAACTGAGGTCTTGGACCCAGACAAGACCCCTCTCCCACCTGTGCCCGATTTGAGCACCTCTTCTCGGCTCCCTGGGACTGGAGCTGTCCCTCCAGGAGTTCAAAGGTTGGGGGGCTCCAGGGCAGTTCCTTCCTGACCCTTCTTGTTGGCAGAGGGGAGGGGACGGCCAGCCCGCACACCTTGGGAAACGCCCACTCTGGAAAGTGGGCTGCCCCCCTGGACATTCCCTCCGGGTAATTTATTAGCAGCTGATGGCCCCACACGGGGCTCAGGTCCCAGCAGGGTCGTATTTCCGGCCTCATCTGATAAGGCTGGGCCGCACCCCCCTCCCTCGTCCATTGAGCCTCACCGCAGCCTGGGCTCTGTGGGGCAAGATAAGGCTGGCCCAGGGGAGTATTGAGCTGCCAGGTCTGCAGAGGGTCCCCGCTGCCTGTGCTGGGCAGGGCCAGGGAGGAGCCTGGCTGTGCCAGGCCTGCCCACAGCCGGCAGGTGGGCCCATGTGCCCACAGGCAGTGACGCCAATGACGTGGTGCCCAGGTTTGCACACACCCCGTCTCTGTTCAGCTGGGCGACCTCTGCTGCACCCTCATCTCTCCCTGTGAGCTGGGAATGAAGGATGTCCCACCCTCCCCAGATCCTCCTGGCGAACCCACCCTGAGCAGGAGCCTGGGGACACAGCGACTGAAGCCAGCTGGCATTCAACCGGAGGGCAGAGCATGCCCAGTGGCCGGGCGCTCCTGAGTGCTGGGGAAGTCCAGCGAGCTGGCCAGGCTGGGCTGTTTTCCTTGGGGTGGTCCTGGAAGGTGGCTGGGGTGGGGTGGGGTGGCACGTGGGAACGGAGGCTTCGGGGGCTGGTCAGTGTGGCTACTCTGCTCTTGGCCACGTGGTGCTGGCCCAGGCTCCCAGCTTTCCCTGGACCCGGTCTGGCTGGAATGGGGAGAGCCCCGAATGGCCTTAGCAAGGCCCCATACACGGCTGCAGGCAGGGTCGGGGGTTGGGCTGGAGGATATGGAGGCCCCAGGTTGACCTGGGCCAGGGAGGAAAGGGCCGGTGGGTCCGGGAGATGGGGGTGGGGTTCAGAGCTGGTTGAAGCAGAAGGACCCCGGGCACAAGAGAGGCCAGTGTTGGCCCAGGGGGTGGGGTTGGCCCTGGCCTCATGTGCAGATGCCTGGAGGCCAGCCCTTCCCCTGCCTGGCAGACAGCCTGGGGTACATTCCTGCAGGCTGGGCCAACTGCAGCACCAGGGCTTGTGATGGAAACTGGTCCAAAGGTTCTCCAGGCGTCTCTGGGGCTCCGGGCTGCACCCCCTGCCCGCTGCGGCCGTCCTGAGCCGCAGCCCCTTCTGGCGGCAGTGGGAACGTGGGTGTGGGGGCCATGAGAGGCCTCACGAGCCTCGACCGTGGTAAGAGGGCCATGGGAGAGGGACTGGGGATGGGAGTGGGCACACAGCGTGGGGGTGGCAGGTGAGTCCAGGGCCGGGCGAGGCCGCTGGAGCAGGCCTTGGCCAGTGGTATACTCAGTGCCAGTGATAGGGCAGGAGGGACAAGGACTCAGGTCCCCACGGGGCTTGCCGTGTGGTGGTCACAGGTGGGCTCAGCCCGAGTACCCTGGGGGTTGATGGGAGTGAAGCCTGAGGGTGTGCCTAGGAGAGGAGGAGAGGGAATGGGGGAATGAGGAGGGTGTGGGTTTGGGGTTACAGGGCTGACGCATGCTCTGAGTGACAGCCGGGATCTGGGCTGGGGCTCCACAGGCACAGGCTGCTCTGCACAGGGGCTGGTGGGGAGAATTCCCTCCAGGCAGAGCTGTCCACAGAACAGCTGACAGTGAGGTAGTGAGTTCCCCGTCACTGGAGGCAAGCAAAGGAGGATTTTTGCCTTAGGGAACTCTTCAGGGTCCCACAAACCTGAGGTGGGGAGGGAGGTGGGAGGCCAGGGAGTGGACTCTGGGCGTGTGGGGGTGCCCTGTGACGCCCTGGCCCCGTGTCTGCTCTCTGGCCCTGACATGTGGCTGCTGGAGAGGCGCTGCCCTTCTGGCTTGCAGATGCAGTTAGCTTCTGCCCCAGGCCACCGCCCCTCCTGTGGAGCCTGCAGCTCATCATTCTCAGGCTGAGGCAGGGCCCTTAGAAGGGGCCACGTATGTCACCCTGTGGCCGAGTCAGAGCCCTCATTAAGAATACAGGAGGCCTGGGTGCTGTTCCCAGCCCCGAGTGTGGTGGAGCCCTGGGTGACGGCCATACTGGTATTCGCCAGTGAGAACCACTCGACGCTGGAGCCCTCGCTGCTCCCCGAAGCCGAGATAATGGGGACCTCTGGGCCGCGAGGGGCACTAACCAAAGCCGCCCCTTCCCTTCTCGATTGCTCATGACCTCCAAGAGGCTGTGAAAGGCCTCTGCTCTCAGGAGCCGTCATTACAATGACACATTTTATTTATAAAGTTGGTCCCTCCCTGAAAGCCAGCTGCCGGGAGGCTGAACATAATCTCTAACCGAGATGGGTTCCCACAGCTGCCAGTCACAGTTTGCTTATCCAGCAGCATCTTGGGGGTTAGCCGGAGGGGCAGAGAGATCCTTCCACCACCCCCCGACCTGTGGAGGGTTTTGGGCTCAGAGGGGAGCCCACGTGGGGGTCTGTTTGGGCTTCAGGGGGGCAATTGGGCCCCGGGGTCAGATGGTCAGCCCGGGTTCCCACTGCGGGTGCCATCCTTGGCCTCTGGGCCTGAAGACCCACCACAGGAACCCACTGTGGCTGAGCTTCACACACATCACACACAGCCTCCTTCTCATACCGGAAGCGTGCGCGCTCTGTGACGCAGGCATGTCACACACCTGTGGACATGTGCCTTGAACTGTGCGGGCCAGGCTGTCCGTCTGCAAAAGTACCATGTGCTGTAAAATAAAAAGAAAACCCCAAGCCCCACAACCAGCTGAACAGGCCGCCTCCTGGCCAAAGGGACGCCAGAGAAACCTGAACACGGAGCTCCCAGTCAGGGTGGACGGGAGGGCAGACGCGCGCCGCCCACTCCCCCGCTTCCCTGTGGGGGTTCAGGTAGGACCGACCAGCACCGTGACCCTAAGACACAAACTAAACAGGACCGAAGGCCCCGCCAGACCAGGGTCAAGTCCTGCGCCCCACAGGCCGCTGTGACCCGCTGTATCGGTTAAAAGACTCTTAATCTTAACTTAAAACATTCCTTTCTGATGACTCCGAATTTATAGACAAAACTTTACTTCTTTAACGAATTGCAAATTAAAGCACGCCTGGCCCCACTGGTGACCTGGCAGCTCCGGCTCGCAGGCGCTGTGCCTTTCTGGGCTAAACCCACGTAGAAGCTCCTTGAACTATGACTGCCTAGACCGGCTCTGGGCCACCCACTCGGGGCTTCCTGGGTGAGTGCGCAGCCTCCTGGAGCAGCAGGAGCATGTGTTTGCCGCGTGTGCCACACGTGCTGCGTGTGTGTTGTGTGTGCTGTGTGTGTGCTACATGTGTGCTGTGTGTGTTCTGTGTATGCTGCCTGTGTGCTGCGTGTGAGCTGTGTGTCACAAGTCTTGTGCATGTGCCGTGTGTTGTGTGTTGTGCATGTGTTGTGTGTGCTGCGTGTGTCGCATGCATTACATGTGCCATGTGTGTTCTGCATGTGTCACGTGTCTTGTGTGTGCCATGTGTTGCATGTGTATTGTGTGTGCTGTGTGTGTATTGTGTATTGTTTGCTGCGTGTGTGCCGCGTGTGTTGCATGTGCACCTTGTGTGTGCTGTGTGCCCTGTGTGTCGTATGTGTGTGGTGCGTGTGTTGTATGTGTGCTGTGTGTTCTGTGTTGTGTGTATGCCAAGGGTGTGCCTAGTGTGTTGTGTGTGGTGTGTGTGTG